GAAATGTGAATCAGACTGATGCCGCATTGAACAGTAGAAACCTCAGCATCTTTCACGGAAGCTGTCTAGTTCAGCAGTAGCCTGAGAAAAGAGTTCAGGGGGTTCAGGGAAAGCCAATTATCCACTAGAAGGAAGCAAGCCAAACAACTACCTGCATAGGGGAACATAGGAAAGTAGCTAACTCCAGTGGTGTTCGGAGCCCAAAGGCCTACAGATTTTGCCACAGAGAGCCTGCCATAGAAATATTTCAGACCTGTTCAGAGTGCTTGGGGAAAAGAAAGGAAAATCTAGTCAGCTAGTCGGGGAATCACAGTTTTGTGGGAAACAAAAACTTTCAGATTGTTCAATGATGAAGGCAAATGCAATTGTATCTTTCCTAAATACTGGATAAAGTCAGACTGGATAAAGACAAAGAGGAAAAGTTAAATGGTAGTCAGTGGAAGAGTTTTTCAAATACAAGGCAAAATGGTGTCAATGAAAACAGGAACCATAAGAAACAAGTTAAAGCCAGTAGCTCCATATTTTGAAAATGTTGAAACACAAACAATTACCTCCCAGGATTTCCATCTTGATTATTTTACAAATGCAAAAGGAGACAAAAATAAGAGAACATTATAGAACTTGCAAGCCGTCTAAATAGCTGTAAGAATTATAAAATGTAATGTTTACATCATGTAAAATGATGATAAATCAACTTAAAATAATAAGAAATAAAGAGGAAATGTGGAGGTGGTAATAAATACAGGGATGCAGTATATTTTAGTTCTTGTCTTGAGTCACAAAGTATGTTTTATGGTTGATATGGAAAATATGTGCTGCTTGATAAGACACAGGAAAATTTGAATATACACAGAAAAATAAACTATCCACCTGTTCTCCTTGACAGTCTGGTTTCAGGAAATGTTATGACATGAAGAGTATTTAAATCTCCTTTTGTGAAATTAAAAATTATTATAGAGAAGGCCAGGCTTGGCAGTGCAGGCATTTAATCACCTCATTTGAGAGACAGAGGAAGGCCGATGTGTGAATTTGAGACCATTCTAGTCTATAGAGTGAGTTTCAGGACTACACAGAGAATTCCTGTCTTGAAAAAATAAAAATAATAATAATAATAATATTTAGGTATTCATAATAAACCCAATGCCTCCCACATACTTTACTTCTGTATTACAAAATGTAAATAGGTATTATATTGTATTGCAAATAAAATAAACAAAAGAATGTGTAAATATATTAAACAGATAGCTGCATTTTGAATATTTTAATTTTTGTGTGGTTGAATGAAAATGTTTGAAACCAAATGAAATGTTGCTGGTTTGTTATTTTAGAAATTTCTACTAAGAGGGGCACACAAAAACATGGTGGCACAACCCTGCTCAAAATTATACTACAAGTGTATATTAAGAAAAACTGTAGTATAGGCACAAAAACAGGATTAATAGAATTAATTAAATGACAGATATGAACCCACAAAAGTGCAATGACACAAAATTTTGACAAAGCTGTCAAAGTATTCATTTCAGAAAAGACAGTTGTCAACAAATACTTCTGGAAGAAGTGTACATCCACATGCAGAGAAATGAGAATAACTGAACATCTATACCCTGCATAGAAGTCAACCCAAATTTAATCCACTTTTAATATAATCTTACCTTAATGAAATCCAGAACTATGCAACAATTCAGTAACATGCATGGAACTTTGAGGTATATACCTAGGACATTCTGATAAGGATTTCAGAAGAAAATAAAACCCTAAAATTGACAAAGGGGATTAGATGTAATTAAAGTGTACCACACAGAAAACAAAACAATAAGCAGAGGAAAATAAAAACATTTGTTACATGTGTAACAGATGGAGACTAATATTCAGAATGTACAAAAGTCTCCATTTGTAGAAGTTAAACACAAAACATTGAAAGGGCATCTCTCTGATATTCCTGGTTATGAACCTGGCCTTTAATGAGCCATCCATCCCTGAAAGACATGTATCAATAGAAAATAAAAATGTTTAATATTTTTTTAAATGTTCAACATTCTTGGTTTTCTTGGAAATGTAGTTTAAAACTGTGAGGTTATTCCATTTGGTGTCAGTCTGAATAGTCAGTATGACTCAAGAAATGAAAAACAAATTCTGCTGAGATGTCAACAAAGAGGAAGTTGTGGAGAGTGAAAATTGAATAGCAAAAAAGAATTTATCCCAGGAACATCAATCCTGAAGTGTCACAAAGTGAAAAATGGAACTTGCCTATGTGTTAGTCCCCTAATGTGAATATTTTCAGGAGTTCAGTAACAGAACATGAAAATATCTTTGTGATGCCATGAACTTGAATTTTTCATGAATTTAAGCAGAATATGTACAGCCACATCGTATGGAAAAGCCAATCTTCAACTGCTTCAACCACTAAAGGTTGCTAAGAGCCTTTTACACTGTGTGTATTACTTAAATCATTATAAATACTAATGACTGACTGTTCTCTCTCACATCCTCCACAATATATTTATATTATTTCTGGAGAGATACGAGGTGACATTTCTCTTGCATAAAACAATAATCTCATTCACACACTATTAACGCTGAAAAAGGTCAAAAAAAGAGCTCTAGTTTTATGATATTTTGAAAAAATCAACTTCTCTGTGGCAGGACCCACATAGCTAAGAACAAGGCTGACTTCTACCACCACAGCCAATTCCATAGCTGGGCACACATGAACAGGTATGCCTAGCTTTCTCATCTGTTCCTTCTCTGACTTTCCCAGAACAATGTCTACCAAAGCCACACATGATCAGGACCCCTCATCTCCAAACTAATCTGATCTTCAATATTCAGACACTAGAAAACTATCCTGTAAATATACATTGGGCCATATTCACAAAAGTCAATGGTTCCTCTTTTTATTAAACTCCACAAGCATTGTGAAAATGTCTCTAGTTTTCATAGGACCAGACATAATTACCAAAGGCAAATACACTACCCATTCAGAATACAACTATTATCACCATAAGGTGAGGAAAGCCCACTTGGTTATAATACAGAATCTCACAGCATCTGTAGCAAAACACATTTATTTCAGTGACTTTTAAAATTTAAACAAGAAGCAATCTTATTTTATATATCAATCTCAGTTCCTTCTCCCTCCCATCCTCTGATGTCCTGCACCGACCCCCATCCCATCCCTCTTCCGCTCCATAGAATTTTGGTGATGTTTTCTTCTGAGATAATCTCTTTACTATTTGAAGTAAACTTCAAGGTACATTGATATGTCCAGCACAGAAATGTGTTCCACATAGGATGATAGATCATCTAAATTTACAATACATGGCCCTTCCTGCTTTACCTCATCAAAGTTATCTTACAATTTTTATCACCTCCAACCAAAAACTAAGAAATAATGAAAGGCCAACATAGTCTCAGACATGAAAAAGCAACTATTTACAAACTCTGCTGTACACCTCCCACAGTCAAGTGACTCAAACCTGAAACAGGAAAGAGAATAAGACCCTAGAAGAAAGTAAGATTAGTATTCACCAAATAACCATTTAAACACAACACATGCTAACCATTTGTTTGTTAATCCAGACAGGTTTGGTGGTATAACAGCACTAACTATCCTCTAACTCACTTTGTAGATGTGTCTGGCTGGGAACACACAGAGATGAACCTGCCTCTGCCCCTAGGTGTTGGTTTCAAAGTGAGTGACAACAAACCTGGTTATGTGCTAATCAATTTTTGAGAAGAAATTAAATAATTCTCATGAGGACTAATGAAGCTGTCTTTGATGTTTCACATCTGGCTTCTTAAGATGGAAGACATGGGTAGAAGAACACCAATTGAAGCAATGAGCCAAATCACAAACAAGCTAAGGAACAAAGTAAACATCGATTGGAAAGAAAAGTCAAGGGATTCATTAGAAATATCAGAGGCAGACGGATGGTGCTGATAAGTACATCAGAGAGTTGTGTTAACCTTAGAATCATCAACAGGTCAGAATGGAAAATATTGGAGCACTGCATATCACAACATGGAAAATGAGATTCATTATGTGGAAGATCAGTCAAAGAAAGCCATCCCATGTAGACTTTAAAAGTGATGTCAGACTGATTTGTTCATACCTCTAGTTTATCAAGGGTCATGCCACTGATAAAGAATAAATCCTGAGAAAACAATACCAAAACAAAATTCATCATCTTAAGAACAACAATTAAAAAGTTGTAGTGCTGAGTTTCAGTGAGAAAAATAGCACTGATGGATCATATGAGAACTACGTCTACATGGGATCTCTACTGCCATTACTCTTTATCTAACATCAAAGACATGAAAAAGAACAGAATATACCGGCTTCTATTTCTGTGTCATCATAATTTCTCTAATTTGAACCAATCTGGAGAAATCTCGACAGCCTGTCTAGGCCCAAACAGGCTGTCATTCTCGTATGTCTCAATACTATCATTCATGATTGGTGTTGTAACTCTTTGCAGAACTGAACAATAAGAGATAGAAAGATACATAGGTATGTACCACCTTTGTATAATACCAGAAATGGGATTTTTCACTTAATACCAGAAATATAATCCATCTTTAACATCAATGACAGGAATAACATAGACAAACATATACATGTATGTAGATGCCAATCCACTGACAATCACACCTAACATGGTGAGAGTAAATGTTCTGTCAATATCTGTGACTTTAAAAATATAGACCTCAACAATGGAAGAACTAAATATCTAATATGTGACCTTCGCCTTTATTACTTCAACACTGTTGTCCAAATGTCATGTAGTATCATTTAGAAATGAGACATTGATAAGCTCCTCCCCACTGCATCATGCTAGGCTACAGTCCCAAAGAAAAGTCAGGGATGCAAAGGATCCTGTTGAGTCAGCTTAGGTCACCAGTAAGGACCTGAAAGTTGCCTTTGTTCTGCCTGCCTTATAAAGACTGTGGCTTTGCTTCTCCAGCACAGACTTGGGAGCAACTCCAGAGCCTCCTCCAAGATGCTGGTGGTCCTACTGACAGCGGCCTTGTTGGCCCTGAGCTCGGTTCAGAGCTCAAATGAAGGTACAGAGGAGGGGAAAGGGTGGTACAGTGACATGGGACTTGGACAGATGTTTAGGACTGGGAGGAAAGGAAAAGAATGAACAAGAACCTGAGGCAACGAATCAGGAGAATAAGTATTAGAATATTTACATTACCATTTTCCCTCTAGAACTTAGACTTTACTTACAGTATAATTTAAGTGCATAGACTTGCAAAAAAGTAACGTGAGTGCATTTGGGGAAAGACCTTTTTGGTGGTAGGTGATGGAGGGCAGTATGCTACAGTTGACAGTAGGAAACACAGGTGTTAAGTTGTTATGAGAAGCAGAGGTGAGTGATGCTAGTATTGTCCAATGTATCCCTGACTTTTCTTTGGGACTGTAGCCTAGCATGATGCAGTGGGGAGGAGCTTATCGATGTTTCATTTCTAAATGATACTACATGACATTTGGACAACAGTGTTGAAGTGATAAAGGCAAAGGTCACATATTAGATATTCAGTTCTACCATTGTTTGAGGTCTATCATTTTTAAAGTCACAGATATTTCTTTGTAGAGTACAAAGAAAAATAAAAGAAGTAAACATATAAAAGAGGTGTTTTGAGAAAAGGAAAAAGATAATAAATTTGAAACTCTATTTAAAATGGGCTTTAAATACCAGGGAATAATTGCATTTGAAAATAATTCTGTCTTTAAAGAACAACAAAAAAAACATTTCAGTGCATATGTGTGTATGCATATATACATATATACACAGAGAGAGAGGGAGAGAGAGAGAGACAGAGACAGAGACAGAGACAGAGAGACAGAGAGAGAATGCTCACAAGCTTATTCACATTCCAGTCAGAGGACAACTATTGGCAGAAAGATTTCTCTTTCTACTATGTGATTCCAGGAACTGGATTCAGGTCATCCGGCAAGTACTTTTTTCCACTGAGAAATCTTTCTGGACCTATTTCTCTCTTTTAATGTCTCACAGGCAATACTCATTGTCCTATACATAGGATTTAAAGCAGTATGTATTCTTGTTTCAATGCATATAATGCCTGTGGATGTATCATATAGGAAGTGAAATTCAGGAAGAAGAGCATAAAGAAGGTAAACCTGGGATGTTGAAATTCCCAGAAGTGAAATGAAGAATAACAGTAAGGTTTGACAGATCTAATAAGGAACAAAAGAGTGGTTACTACTGATCACAGAAACCCTTCTGGCAGCATTATCGGCAATCTTACCAAAGAATGACATTCTGTTTAGTGGATGTGAAGCTGGGGTTGAAAGTCCTCCTCACTGGGAAGCCTGCATTTGTCCTAATTAACTTTCAACTTATTTTGTGCTTATTTCCAGAGATCATCTATGAAGATTCTTTTTCGCCACTTGGTAAAGCCAGATTCATCCTCTATGGAACTTCCAGGCAACCTTTACTTTTCTCAGTATTTGGCTCTGTAAAGTCTCAGTATCATTTTGTTATTTTATGAAATTAATGTGTGAAATCTTCCCCTGAGATATATAGGAAAAATTCCCAACATTGACTCTAGTAGTACCTAGAGCAGGACTATACCTCGGAGAAGAAGAAAGCCAGGTTTTATAAAAGAAACATTTTGTCTCTTTTACAGACTGAAGCAATGTCTTGCATATGAGGGGCATATTGAGTGTCCTCGTTTTAATTCCACCATGACACTATGGGATGTTCAAAGAATTCTTCTTGCACCAGTAACTCCAAGTAGAATTATCTGCTTACTCACTAGATATGGAATTACACAGTCTCATACTCTCCCATTTCTTTTAATGTAATTTTTTCACTCAGCTCTGTAGCCACAGCTAATACATAAAAAGATACTGCATAAAAAATGCAGTGAGACATCTTTTTCATCTCTTGCCTACATTTCTTTCTTGTTCTCCACATTATTATAGGACCCTGAACACCATGATATGTTTAAGACTAGAGCATTGCTGTCACAATTTTGCTAATCTGCCAAGTTCTAACCAGCAACATTTACAAATCATTCTCTTTTCTACACTTCTGTCTGACAATTGTAAGGAACACAGTATCACATTTTATAAGCCAAACTAAAGAATAAACTTTGTCCTAAGACTGGAGACACAAGAAAGTTCATGTAATGAATTTAAAATTCAGTAAAATATGAACCAGGAACATAAAGTTGGGGATGGGGTGGTTTCTGGGGAGAAAGAGAAGGTGTGATCTCCTCTCCGTGGATTTCTACCCATGCAGAGGAAGAGCAGCAGGGCCCTGAACAACCTCATCAGAGACCACCACCTGGAGAATTTCCCCCAAAACCTTCTGCGTCTGATGAAGATGGTGATGATGACGGTGAAGAAGATGGGAATAAACCAGAGAAACCACCACAGCAAGGAGGTGAGCACCAAAAACCTCGCCCTCCTAGACCTGGAAACCAGGAAGGAGGCCCTCAGCAGGATCGCCCTCCTACACCTGGAAACCATCATGGAGGCCCTCATCAGGGTCGTCCTCCTAAACCTGGAAACCAGCAAGGCCCACCCCAGCAGGAAGGCCAGCCCCAGAATCGCCCTCCTAAACCTGGAAACCAGGAACGCCCACCCCAGGAAGGAAGTGAGGAACAGACAAGTTCCCTATAGGCAACGTACAAGACAGATACCTTTAATGTCATTTCAATGGAACAATGATGTTGCAAATGTACCTTCAACACTCTAATAAAACAGTTAGCATGCAGTTACTGTTTTCTTTTTCTTCTTCTGAGCATGTGTGAATGAAATCTGGGGCATGTGGCCACATGCAAAGTGGTGATAGATCCATTCATTTACTTCCGGAAGGGGTCCCTGCTTCTCCCTTCCGAATCAACCAAGTATCAAACACTTCTGAAATGTATATGTGTTAAAAAAAAATACAGGAATAAACAATACCATAAATCACTGAAGTAAGAAAATATTTTTAGGCAAAAATCTTATCAGGAAAATACATACATTTATCTGAATTTAAGCCAATAGCCAAAATGAAGAGCCTGAACAGAGGGAAGAAAAAAACTTTCTTATTTTCTTTCTGTTTAATATTTTATTATCATAGTTTATTTCAACCTTTATATGATTTACTCATTTAATCCTTGATAATTGCATACATGTATGCATTGACAGAATCTGTCCACAAAACCCCGATCAATTTCCCCAGACATTTCCCACATGGTCTTCAATATCCTTTCTTCAAATCTATAACTATACATGTCTATACTATGCTATATAATCAAATATACTGCCTACTGGATAGGCATCTATCCTATTGATAGATGACAAAATACTCAAGTAATGTAATATCACCTCAATGTCAACATGGAGCCTAAAAATGTCACCTAAAGTCTGTGCTGTACACAACTGTGTCATGGAGTACTTGTTTGACTTGCTTGAGCCCTGGACTCAAACTCCAGCATATAAATATATAAATAAATCATTTGGCCTGTGAAAAGTTTCTTAAAATTTTAAGGAAACTACTTATGTTTATGGTTTCAGGTTAATACTCCCACAAAATTTTGTGGTTTTGAACAGGTCAAGTGAGCATCCACTGTTCTCTGAAGTCCATTTAACAGCAAAACTCTGTCAGCACATAGATTTGCTACTCTCCCTATAGTTGAGATAACATGCCTGACAGAAAGCAATTGAAGGGTGCCATATTATGTCGCGTTTCACATTCATAACATACATTATGATCAAATCAGGTGGCATTAATTGGGGGTAACATTTTTATGTTTTCTTTATTTTATGTGAATGGGTTTGCCTTTGTGCAAGAATGTGTCTCTCATCATGTAGTACCTATAGAGAACAGAAGAGAATCCCCTGGAACTAGAGATGTTAAGAGGTATGGCTCACCACATGGCTGTGCAGAACTACACCCAGGTCCTAGGAAGAACTACAAATACTTTTAACTGCTGATTCATCTTGGCAGCCCCAGTGAAATAGTAACTGTTAACATCAGTTCTTCGCAGTAGATTGAATATTTTCAGCACACAAATACATATACAAACTGTGTCATATTTAGGGAATATTCTCATTTTTTAAGGCCCCAGGATACCTTCCTATCTGCAAGTAGCATCAAGGCATAAATGAAGGACATGCTTATCCTGGCCTCTGATTAAAGGCTATTGTTTGACTTGAAGGAAAATATACTGTGTATCTAAGTGATTAAGGGGATGGTCCAGAAAAGATAACATTTGTCATCCCAAAACTACTTCACATAGAGACAGTGATGTATTCCCTACAATATTCACTCCGGATGGTTTCTTCTTGTTCCATCCATTTGCCTGGGAATTTCAAGATTTCATTGTTTTTTCCACTGAGTAGTACTCCATTGTGTAAATGGAGCCATTATAGGTTTAAAGGGAAATCTGGCACTAGGGAAATCTCCAAGGATCCACAACAATGACCCCAACTAAGAGTCTAAGCAATAGTGGAGAGGCTACCTTAATGGCCTTCCTTAAATTAATGACTTCCTTAAATGCCATTCTAGAGCCTTCACCCAGTAGCTGATAGGAGCAGAAGCAGAGATCCACGGCTAAACACTGAGCTAAACTCCTAGAATCCAGTTGTAGAGATGGAGGAGTGATGAGCAAAGGGGTCAAGACCATGCTGGGGAAACCCACAGAAACAGCTGATTGAGCAAGTGGAAGTACAGGGACCCCAGTCTGACAGCTGGGGAACCAGATTAGGATCCAACCAGACCCCCTGAACATGGGTGTCGGTTGGAAGGCCAGGGCAGTCTATGGGTCTCTGGCAGTGGAACTGGTATTTATCCTTAGTGTAGGGACTTTGGGAGCCCATTCCCTATGATGGGATACTCTCTCAGCCTAGATACATGGGAGAGAACATAGGTCCTGCCCCAAATGATGTAACAGGTTTTGATGATCCCCATGGGAGGCCTCACGCTCCCTGGGGAGTGGATGTGGATGGGACGGAGTGGGAGGCATGGGGGGAAGAGAAGGAGAGGGAACTGGAATTGGTATGTAAAATAAGATTGTTTAATTTAAATAAAATAAACAAATAAACAAAATCAGAAACAAAAATGTGGAGTAAAGTAATATTAAAAAGCCACATAAAGATGGAAAGCATGTGGATACTTTCTATTATTGTGTTGTCTTTGAATTTTTTTGACTGCTGGGGAAGGGACAATAGCTTCATAGAGACATTTGATTACAAATGCTGATGGATTAATCCAACCTATATATTTTGAAAATGTCTTGACTTCAAACTCTTCCTTGCCTTAAGCTCCCACTTATGACTCTATAATAATAGCCCTTTAAACTCATCCATCTGTTCTCGATCAATTTTATTCCTTGAATTCATAAGACAAAACTCCACAAGCCAATACACAGATAGAGTTTTTGTGTGATTGGGTTTCCAGCACCTTAACTGCAGAGTTAAAGGCCATCAGCATCTAGAAAAAAAACAATCTGTGACTCTCAAGACAACACCACTTTCCTGCACCTGTGAACCAGGCTTCTGCTTATGACCTTTTCCTTACTCCATAGTCTTGAGCTATGTTTTTAGTTGTAGCACTGACTCTAACCCACAGAAGAGATGAACATAGATAAGAGAAAATGCCTGGTTTTCTGACAGGTTTTGTGAGTTACCTTTCTTGATTGGTTAAACTCACCTCTATGCCTAAAGGGCAAATCTTTATCTGCCTTGCAGAATTCCTCTGACAGGGACCAACTCTCTCTCACAGACTAGTTAAATAATACAGGGTTGGGGGTCATTGAGGATGTTCCCATCTTAGAAAACCAAGAACTGGAATGCAGAATCCTGAATGTCACTAAATCCTTGAGCTACTACAACTCAATGCTTTCATCAAAGGAACAAACTGAAATGACAATGGACAGAGTCTAAAACAGGAATCACTTTAATTAAGCCCCAGAATGGAAAAGTAGTATAAAGACTGTCATCTAGTCCTCATTCTCCAAAAGAGAAAATTCTGGGAGGTTAAAAGAGTCCCATGATAGGCAGAGTTCTTGTCTCTGATCCACAGATATTCGGGCTGAGGCTTACACTAACTTTACCTTGAAATCAGCCTCAGCCCTACCACTAGTATTGATTCTACAAACTAATCTTGCATGTGAAAAGCAGTGATTGGTAAATGAAGAGGTTGCATTACAGTTGCATTCCCTCTGAATTTGAAATGCCACATTAAAAGAGAAAGCACTATTGTCCCTCCTTAAAGTGCAACACGAAGACTAAAAGGATGGCCACAAAGATTGAACCAGGTGTAAGTAGCAGGGTTTGTTCAGGAAACATGGGAAGGCTATATCCATTAGATTAATCTTCTTTTCTTCTTCCTACATTTTATAATCTACTCTGTTATAGGGTTTTTGGTTTAAAAAGTGAGTTTGGATCTCTCTCTAGCCCTGGGTGGGAAAATGGCATTCGAATCAGCCTAGAAAAGCATATGATCACTATCTAGTTGGAGGATTTCTGCTTGTGGCCAAGGACATATAATTGTTCCTCCTTTAATAACTTCTACACAGAAAGAGTCTGCCTGAAAACAAGAACCTACACAGATACAAAAGCAAAATAATCACTGCTGAACAAATAATTTTCTTCCCTGAGTCAAGGAGGAAAGTTAATAATTTGTGGAAGTTAACAATCCAAGCAATGATGTGTTAGTGGTTTGATATACTAAAGAGAGGTAGGGAAGCTTTTTGGTTATCTCTCATAGCAACATTTGAAATCTACCCCCTTCCCACATTGTAATGCCATGCCATGCTCTCCTTTTATTCATGACAAGTGTCAGTTCCTCTTTATAAAGCATCAAGGAGAAACAAAAGCAACTGAGTTAACACAAGGCATACTAGTAATATCTCCCCTTGAAGGGAAACTCATTCTCAAAAATCAATTACATAAACATTTATTAACCCTATGTTGAATGGAATGCAGCTTTTAAAAAACAAAGGCCTCCAATCCCATAAGATTTGAATTAATTCCTTGCAGACTAGATAAATGCCTACCGCTTCTCTTCAGCCGTGTGTATCTATTGCATCTTTGAAGTCTTTAGTGTTGTGATAGATATCTTAAAATGTTCAGCCTTCATAAGGAGCTGTGGGAGTGAACTTCATGGAGATTCTGATTCACTTTCTAAATTACCAAGTAAAGTGAGGAAAACACAAACAGAAAGTGCTTCTGATAGTGTTCAGTCAGTAAAGTCAATCTCATGCATTTGAATCCAAATTCAGGTGCCCAGCACTGAAATAACAGTTGAGTGCAGCAATGTATCTGTAACTGACCCCAGAGCTGGGGAGGGAAGGTGATTAAAGCCAGGCAAATTCCTGTTCTCAGGAGCAAGTCCAGTCAAACTGATAAGCCACAGTTCAGCCACAGACCTGCTCCTATTAACCTGCTAAGTGGACACAATATTAAATCAACTCCCAGTGACTTATCATTACACCCACAAAATTATCTATAATTTGCTGTTGATAATGATCAATACAAGGACATACACCAATGTTCAGATGATAAGACTGCAGAATATTCAGTAGTAAATGGGACATACATACCCTCACTCCTCTTCTCCAAAGGCTTACAGATCATTGTGGAAAGAGAGCTGTAATAGTGTAAGGACCAGAGGCCAGGGGGATGACTAT